TGCAGCCGAATTGAATGAGCCACAAGATCTCAAAAACAAGAATGACATGGAAATTCAGCCGTAAAGAGTAATGCCGCTTTACACTGCCACAGAATTGCTTAATATTTTGTTGTTTTCAAGCATCTTGTGCACTGGTGCACGCATAAAAAATATTAGAAATGCTGATAAAGCAGTTATTGTACTTACTTACTTGTACACATATGCATTCATATATGAAAACATATTTGCGGGCGCACAAGCACACATGCTTACGTACATACACACATTCGTGATTGTTGTGGTACGAAACGCAAGAACTCCTGAAACGGGAAGGGATAAACTTCGGAGATCCACATAGCCCATGCTATGGAAAATTATGTATGATGGAGTTTTTCGTACCGAATTACCCGAGGCATCTTCTATAATAGGCTTTTTAGACGACACTTTGGTAGAAGCGACTGCGAAATAGCTGGATGTCATACACGAAAGCGTATCCTCACCAGTCGGCGTTATTAAAAACTGGATAAAAAGCTTCGGGCTCAATCTAGCCTAGCAAAAAAAAAGGAGCAATACAAATCTGGAGTCGTAAGAAGCTATAAGAGGTCATCTAGACAAGCGTCTTTCATTGAGCGTCCACATAAGCTATGTGAGCGAAAAAACAGCCTCAACGGCAGAAATTGCGCCTTTTTTTTAAACAATCTGGACACCCTGCTAGCAGGCCTCGTATGTGCGAGGCTTGGTCACGCGCTGAATGTGTAGATATTAAATAAGATGCGATTGACAACTAAACAGGTTGCAACCCTACTAAAAAAATAATATATAATTGCGCACCTGGAGGCCAAGACCTTCATTTGACACCTCATTTCTTGTAATCGAAAAGCAAAGCCCACATTTTTTAATTTTTTGCACAGGTTGCAACCCTCTTTGAAAAACAAAACCTTACTGCAAATCGGAAGGGCAAGCTTTTTCCTTTGATACCTCTCCAACAGGTGGTAACCCTATAGGAATTTGAAGTACTAAAAATAATATTTCTGTCGATACAGATTATAATTAAAAACTCTCCTATAAATACGTTCAGTAGTTTTTGAGATTAGTGTGATCAAAATATCTCAACATTCCTTTATACTATGTATAGAAGATAGTAATTTTTAAATAGGTGGCAACCCTATTCAAAAAAAGAAAGCTTTTTGTACTTGCGAGGGCCAGGCTCTTTCATTCGGTATCTCATTTTGTAATCCAACGAACGGCGAAAATCTTTTATCTTTTTAATAGGTGGCAGCCCTACTCAGAAAAATAATACCTTATTGTACATGTAGAGGCTAAGTCTTTTCGTTTGACAGTGACGGTGCAGAACTGGTGCCTACGCTTATGATTGAATATATTAATTTTATTACCAGGTGGCAACCCTATTAAAAAAACATTAGTGCCTTTCTAGAGGCCTATCCCTTTCATTTTACACCTCATCTTTTCTAAAAAAAACTCGAATAACTCAGCCTAAAAAGGGTGAAAAAATACTTTTCCACTGATATTTCGCAAGTCTATAACGGTATAGTTTTCGCCCAGTTTTTCAAGTTTTTCTTAAACATATCTTAGAAAAAAGTTAAAAAAACAGCATCTAAAATATTATTTTTATGATTCCGTTAAAAAAGTTTTGAATATTTTTTTGCAGATTTTTAAAGCTTAAACCGTTTTATCATCTGAGGAGATTTTTTCCGAAAAGTCCTTTAAGAAACCAGATTTTTTAATAAAAAACTAATTTTTGGGGATATTTTCAAATCGGTCCAGCTCACGTAAATCTTAATATTTTTCCGAAATATTTTGGTGGAAGTCTTAAAATATAATAGATTTTGTAATCCTGGCGGAAAAACTAAAACCTTTTTTTGCGATGCAATCTAATATACATATATATGTACATATATATTAGGGTGGGTCAAAAAAAATCAACCGAAAACTAGTTCCTAGATACCTCTAGAAAGTACTTACCAATTCTGAGCTGTTAATATTAACGGGAAGTTTTTCATTTTCAATTTAGTCTCATATAAAACTGGTCATATCTTATCACCAGTAGATCATTAAACCTGTTGTATCAATAATATTTATAGGAAATTAAAGGCTCTACAAAAAAGGTCCCATGTAGTTAATCGATTACTCTAACCATTTAGAAGATATTCGCAGTAGAACTCTAATGCCTACTGATTCTAATAGTTTTTTAATAAATATTTCCAATTTATCCATTTAATTTATGAATTTTGAGATAATTTATGATCTATTTCAGAAAAAGAAGGTGCGAATATCTTCTAAATGGTTAGAGTAATCGATTAACTACATGAGACCTCTTTTGTAGAGCGATTAATTTTCTATAAAAATAATTAAAACTCAATTGACCAGAAACATTTTTTTTTTAGTAACTTACAAAATTCAAAACAAAAAGTTATTTTCCTTAAAATACTTCAATCTTTGACCTTGAATATATACTCGTACATGTCTAAGCACGCAAGCAGTGCTATATACTTGTTGTTGTTGTTGTTGTGCTTGTTTGTTTATTCTTTATTTTCTCATAACATTTTTACATTCTTCACTAAAAATATATATCAGTACACATGTTGAACTTAAATAAGAAAATAGTTAATGGCTTTAAGTGTTCAATCAAAGAACAGAGGTAATGCCATTTCATTTATTATAAATTATTAAATGCTGTGGGGCGCATTTCGAAAATCACGAGGCAAAAAGGAAAAAGAAAAATAACAATAGATTAATATATTAAATATGTAATGCACGAATATGTAGATATTTGTACAATATATAAATGAAAACATTACATTATAATGCAATATTCGATTAAAACCTTGAAATAATACAAATAGTGTGCTTGGCTATGTTAACAATATCAAAATATCAGAAGATTATTGACCTGATTATTGAAAAACAAAATTTGAGTGGGGTTTTCGCTAGTTGTTGTACAAAATTTTATGGTTTATTTTTTATATCTCCGCTTGCTGAAAGATACTAAAATGCAAATAAGCAAACACTCATAACAGCGTGAAGTGTCATTCATTTCATTTGATTTCCTTCGACTGGACATGATATTATATTATAACTTTTATTGAATTTTATTCTGCCAGAGCATACTCATTTCACATATACATACATATACACTGATATTATCTACATATATACTCCCGCTACATATTATCATCGATATTAAATAATTGTGGTATTTTCTTTTTTTTCATATAGCGTTGATGTGCGTTCATTCACACCAATGCGTGGTGTATACATACATACATACATATGTACATAGATGCAGTCTGTACTCGTACACATGATTACCATTTGAACTTATTTGCCTCGGGAATAGATACAAATTTTTTAGGAAATTCTGTGCGAAAATAATTGTCTTTAACGCAGCCTGACTGTCAATATAGATAATCACGCCTCTTTATTCAATTGCTGCTCAATAATTCCATCGCCATCTTTATGAGTTATGAGGAATTACTAATATTGTGACTCTGAATTTCATCCCGAAGTGCAGATCCGGGATCATCTGGTGTCAGGCAGTTCAGAGAGTGCTCTGATCGTAGCACACAAACTTCCCCGTAACATGAGTCTGGCTTAGACAGTTTTTAACTCTAAATTCTTGATGGATTACTGCCATTGGTGCATTCCTATCTATGTATATCCTAAATAAGTACGTATTCTTTTCTTTGAGTAAAAGTTTTCGGCGTGCCAATTTGAGAAAGAGTGCGATAAACTCCTACGAAGCTCCTCATCTTTTTTTCGTGCTTTGTTTTGCCCTCTCCTTAAGATGAAGGCGCTAACGACAGTTTGCAGTGAAGTAGTATACAATAAGTATATTTCCTCAGCTGGAGAGTTACCACAACTAGAATTGGCAGTATATGAATTCCACAAAATTTTCGTTATTTAAAGCTCAACTGAGAATGTCAGACCCATGCTATGTATATGTGCCTTCAAACTAAATTGACCTTAACGAGCATACGAGCACTTGTGTTTGCGTTAACCATAAAGTACCCACTCGTATTTTAAATTACTAAAATTTCACTTTAACTGGTCGACCAGACGAGCTTGTTTGTGAGTATTAATTACCGTACTTTGAGTATTAATTGTGTGAGACATTATTCGGGTTACTCGTACAATTAATTTATGCATACTACTTTGTGAGCCAGGACACAGCAGTCTGTTGTAGATTAAATGGCTGACCAGCTAGAAAAAGAACAAATTAGGCAAAATTTATCTGGCGTTGATGAATGTTTGAATTGGTCAAAGTGTACCAAGGCCAACAATGGTGTAACTCGTTGCGCTTTCTTCACAGTAAAGTCACTAAACCGGCTGGCTTGAACTGCAATGATAAAACAAATTGAAGAAAAATTTTAAATTTTAAAGTTATTTAAAATATTTTATATTACACCGTACGATAGTAAATTTTAGACAACAAAAATCAGCATACCCCCGAAAGTAGAGGGCAAACAAAAGACAACCGCGTTTTTAGTTTTTCTCTCGCAAGATTTTTTTAAAGGATTTAGAAATTTCGAAGATATTATTAACTCAATAAATAATTTACAAAATTTAGTGCAGTGTGGAATAACAATATAGCGATAAAAAAAATATAGTTAATAGAAATATAGTTCATTCTGCATCAAAGGTTGCAAAGGTTTTACAAAATTTAGGAAAATTCGACAAATTTTCACCAAAATTTTCAACTTTTAAACAAAATTGTTTAGAAATTTTTTTAATTCAAAAAAATGTCTGGTTCATTTGGTCCCAATGTTGTTATTCCATTTTTGTTTGTAGTTTTTGAAGTAATTATGTATATCTTAAAAATTTCAAACATATCCTTTAAAAGAAACGCGTATGTTTGGAAGTTATTTTGGCTTTTGTCGCAGGGAATTTATGACTAGTTTGTCAGTGGCATTTTCACAGCAATATACAATGCAACGTTTTAATATTGACATTAATTAATTGCCATGAATATTTTGCCTTTTTTCTCATTTCACTCATTTCAGCATTTAACCCCGCTTCAACTTGGCTGTCTCTGTAGTACTCTTTGCTTGCGACCTGAATGAGCAAAAACTGTCAAACTTTGTGCACATCAGCGTGGAGTCAAATGTCGATGGCAGTTGCTTGGTCAGATGCATACCGGTCAGCGGATGCGCATTTTCACTGCTGGCATAGTACTCGTCTGTCTGAAGCATAACTGTCAGCACGCCGAATATTGAAGATCTCCTTATTGATTTTTTTTTGGAAATCTCCATAATTTGGCGAGTTTGCTGAATTTGGGCTTCCAGCCTACATGAAGGAAATAAGCCAGCTATGCCACGCCTTGGCTGAATCGACCAAGTAGTATGCGAATTTCGGTGTTATCACGAAGATGAGTAATTGTTACTTGAACGAGCCGATCGATAACAATGTTGCGAAACTTGGTACACTGCGGACCACACGATGTTGATTGCAAATTTCTGATCGAGCGCAGAGAGAAGCAGCAGCAAGATCAGCAAAAAGATAAAACTATCGCAAATGCAGGAGAATGGCAATTTGGAGCAAGTGCGCTTCGAAAATATGAATAAAATAAATATTTTTTTTTTATAAGATGGATTGGAAAAAGTATCTAGTGGTCTATTATTTGCAAATATTAAAATTATTTGAGTATATAATAAATATTCCACGTCTTAGCGCTAATAAACATAGATGTAATGCAAGATATATGGATATGCGGCACCAATTCGCATTAATGTCACTCGTCAGCTTTGGTGTCCGTTTGCTGAAAATGTTCATTGCTACTCATCAAGTGAATAAATTAAATACTCACTGTAAATCGTATTTACTTAAGTCATCAATTTTCTTAAGATTCTTTTTATTCCATATAAGTTGTATGTTTCCAACTCGATGAAAGTAATATACTCATCACGTAACTTCATGAGGGTTAATTTTTTATTTTTTTTAATAAATCTATTAATGAAAATTTCAGTGCAAATATTTCTTTGAATTTGCAGTCTTACATTTCTACATCCATTAATTTTTTACCAACGTAGGTTCGTGCTGTGGATGCTAACCAAGAGGTATGTATGTACTTTAGTCATTCTACACGCCATCAATTGATTACTTGAAAGCGATAAAGTGAAATAATTTTTCCGAAGTTACAAATTAAATTTTGAATTTTGACTCGTTTGCCACCGAAGGGTCAGTTAAATTAATAAATGTACAGTCGAGATTTAGTTAGGGACTCTGCACATTAAGCTCCTAGTCATAGTAGTGCAATCGTTCCGGCATACTAAAGTACGAAGCTTTTATGCCGAACACATGTATTTCAATGAAGCTCCATTGTCAGGCGCTTGCCATTTTGAACTCGTCATTTGTTTACTTTTTTGTGTTGGAAATAAAAATTATTTGTCATTTCAATAGTAAATAATCGAAAATAAATGATCTTGTGCTAAAACTCGTGCCAATTATATTAAACCATAAGCGTTTATGCAATATTTTATTGCGAAAGTGTATCACTAAGAAAGAACGGCCAGAAAATGTGTAATGTGTGTGCCACCAGGGCTTATGCAAGTCGTGCAAGTGTTCAGAAGTGGAGTCGTCATGCATTCGTTTCGGCAAGTGCCTTACTCATCAAATAAGACAACTCGAAATTGGAACGATCAGCAAACAAAACTTTTACCATATTTTTCGATTAATTTTGGGATGTGACTGTGTCAAAATTCATTCATTCAAGATTTCAAAGCAGTGAAGGCATTTTAAGCTCAGAAATTTCCCTTAAATGAGGCAGTCTTCAAACTATCTTCAAAATCGACAATTAATTAAAAAAAAGGTCTTTAAGACAAGTTTCAATACCTAAGGTCTAAATTTTGTGTGGAGGTACTTCTTTACATCTGAGTAAAGTATGTGCTAAATTTAAACCAAATTTGACGAGAAATAAGGATTTTCCGAGTATCTGGTCTCTTGCCTATCCACCTATCGGACAAATTGGTTTGAATAATTTGTTTTCACGTTATTAATATGCATTCCAAATATGAACAATATCGTACCATAAAAACGGGATTTTCAAGTATCTCGATACCTGTGCCACCTAGCGGAGTTATTTATCTTTCATATTGCATTGTCATAGTGTTCTGAGCTAAGTATGATGTTTCAAGTCTCTAACATTTGATTACACACAGGTGAAACATAATAAAAGCATTTAAAAATAGGCGTCAGTACTAGGTACTCATGCAATGTTTTGTGTAAACAGGCATTCCGAAGTAGTCCCGATAAAGTCCTGAACTAGTCCTAAACTGCACCCGCACTAGACCCAAAGAAGTGCTGGTAGAGTCACCAACTAGACCCGAATTGTCCAGAAAAAATACAGAACTGTTCTCGAACTAACCCCGAAGCGGCCTCCAAAATAGTTCCAAAATGGTCCCGAAAAAGTCCCGAGCTACATTTAAAAGCGGTATGGCTAGAACGACTGTTTCGATTTGTTTTCATCTGTACAACTTTATAATTCGTCTTGGCTTAAGCGTGACGGTTTGCGGAAATTTAGCCCTACCGGGAGCAAAGATGTTTACACGTAATAATTGAAAATCGTAAGAATGGAGAAAAATAATGCCTTTTTATAGAGGTAAAAACAATTTTACGGTTCTGACTCGTTATGACGACTTGTAAGTCCCTTATTGTTGTTGGGTTTTTAGTGACATTGTTTCCTTTTTTTAATTTACCTCTATACTTTAAAGAAGCAGAGTAGTTGGGGCTTACTTTGGTGAATTGTATTACTTCCGATTGATATTGGAGCAGCCTTATTAAACCCAGCTTAGGAAAGTCAAATAATTAAGACTTTTAATTTACTTAAAATTTACATTAAGAAATTTACATTGGTAAATTGCGATTATACTGGGAAAAGCGTGTAGTTGCGTCAACTGAATATAGGGCTATCTGGTAAAATACCTACTCAATACCTTACCACTACCTTATTCACCTATGGTCGACTCTTTTATGTGTCCAAAACTTATATAACCACTTCGAGGCACCCATTTTGCATCAACAGAAGAAATAACAAGAGACTCAGGGCAGGTACTGATCTTTGTGCAAAATTCAGTGCATGGATATGAAGTAAAAATTGTCGATAAAGCGCCACGTTGTAGAAAACAGACACGCCAAGAGCCATAAGCAACAGGCGAACATTTGTTAATCCCTCTGCTTTTAAAAGCCTTTGGTGCAAAAAAAAAATGCAACAACGGAAGATATAAACAAGCGTGCACGTACTTAAAATACCTAGATAATTAAGTAAACATGCATATGTATGTACATATATACCCATACGCGTTGTAATCTTAACCTACGGTCATTCATTTGAGAATGAATAACAAAAACGTATTTGACTGTTATTTAAAAGCACTCGTAAATACTATTGATATGCGTAAGCGCCTTTAGACTGCTTTATGATGGCTTGTTTGTTGATGAATATCCTTGCGGCCATAAATCATCGCAGATAAGAGCCAGCGACAATTTGGCTTGTACCACCGCTGCCTTAGTTACACACAAAGAAAGTGAAGAAAAAAGTAACAATGAACTCAAAACACAGATAAAAACCAACGGAAGGCAAACAAAATGGCAGAAAGTGTAAAGTGAAAGGCGATATTTCTGCCTCGAAGAAGGAAGAAATCCATTCCTATTAACACAGTAATTGTCGTGTTTCTTGTTTGTCCATCTACGTACGTACATACATACATAACAACCTGCTTGTATTTTATTTCCTTTTAATATGCGTTTGTAGATACCAATGTTGCCAACTTGTGGGATTTGGCTAATAATTCGGGATTTTCGCAACATAAAAGGGCACGTGGGATTTTGCTAAATACAATTTCGTGGATTAATTGTTTTATTTTACAACGCTTTTTTAATATTTTTTTGCTGTTTAGTAATTTTTACATACATATGTTTATGCAAACATATAGGGGCATTCCAACGTGACGGATGGGACAGTTAAACTGTTTTTCCAGAAATTTTAAGTACTTTCTCTTTTACCCTTAATTTGACAAGCGGTAAGCTCTTAATACGAAACTGTTAAATTATGAAACTTAATTATATAATTGACGGTATGTGATGGGTGGAACAACGATGACACTAGGAGTTGATGGATTTGCCTACCAATTTTAGACAAACTATGTACACCAAAATATTTCGTGCGCAGCAGCTTTCTCGAATGTGGTTAATATAATGTTAAGGTCCATTTTATGTTTTGATAGTATTGTTATATTTGCAAAAAAAAAAAATTGCCTGACGGGGGGACGATCACAATAGAGGACACATTACTTTGACCGTTGACGACTTTTTCATAAACGTAGTTTTATAATAACTGACCACTGTTTTAAAGTCCATGCATTTTGCTTTATATTTGGATAATTATTTCTGGCATTGTCACTTTCAATACACACAAAGGCATTGCTAACTTGCTAAAAAATATCTCTAATGATAGTCGCATGACGGCTGTATCTATACCTGCAGAGACAAACACAGGGCCACGTGCAACGCAAGAAAAGTAAAAACCGCAGAACTGGAGCTATAAATACTTCTTAAAAACTTCTAATATTTAATATTCATAGATGGGTTTTTCGACTTTAAAATTGCGATAAACAGGGCGTTTTTCAGAGCGGCATTTGATTTTCGCACCTTCGGAGTTGGCAGCACTGGTAGGTGACTGTATTGTGAGTGTTTTAAAGGGGCAATTTTATGGTAGAAATGCGCGTGAGCGTGGCCCGAGCAATAAAATTGACAATGCGACTCAATAAATACCTTTGTAGACGGAATGAAATTTTTTAGCAGCTGCAAGCCATTACCATGTATGGCACAAGATACCCCACCAAGATATGCGTACATATGTACATATTTGCAAATGTATGAATGAACAGTGTGTTGTGCTTAAAAGCAACACATTCCTCCTTCTTTTTTGCGTGAATTTGCGTTAACATTCGTGCGACTTTTTATTCCAATCAAGATTACCACTGAAAAACTTTCTTTCCTGCCAATAGCTGGTTCAAAAGCCTACCAAATGGCATCTTTCCTACCATTCCTTTTAATCAAGAAAACGGCGTCTGACAGCATTAAATATGTACATTTATTTTTGCTGATTTTTATACTTAAAAAAAGATTTTCAGGCAAAAAAAAAAGATCAGAATAATAGCTATTATACTTACATATAGGTTTATAGGTTTCATGAAAAAGTGAACCTTAGAGCAAAAATTATTTTTGTTTTTATAAAACTAATAAATGTGTGGATAAGACATATGTAAATGTCTTGAGTTAACCAAAAAATAACAAACTAAATCTTTAAATTCATTTTTATTACCTTTTTTACATTTCGAAATCAAGTTCTAAGTAAATTATTTGAGTGAGTTTCAAATAGGTTGTGTTGAAATTACTGTCAAATAATTTCCGATTCATAATTCAGCTTTTGATAACATTGTGTTATATATTAAATTGTGTGATTAATATAACAAAGTCCAGGTTTGAAGTTGCTAGTACTTCGCGTTAATTTTTGGCAATTTTTTTAGTGGAAGGAAGAATAGTTTTTTTTTTTTTATAAAAGTCTAGCACATTACATAACCACATAAGCACAACGTTTCAAACTTCGTACAAAAATTACAGAAATTAAACAAACTTTAACAATTACACCTAAAACTTTTAAAATTTAAGTAGGTAAAAGTGAAAATTTCAAGACGCTAGGAAATCGCGTTGATTTTTAATAATTTGTTTGGCTGACGGTGCTAGGCATTTACTTCCATATAAAATGCATTATCCTAAGATAAAACGTGGGTGGATTGAACCTCTAATTGGCTTATTATATTTTTTAATAAATAATCTTCAATATGGACCACACTGAAAGTTCCTCTTCGTATAAAAATTCGTACGTACCCCACCCGTGCAAACGCTATCCCACC